GTGGACTGATGGGCTGTGGGGGCCGCCCTACGCGCCTCCCTGCCCTCGCTTGCTCCCTGCTCCGGCCACACGCAACGCCGGGGAACTTCGCTCACAATAATACTTCCTCTTCGTTGTCTGCGCATTTTAGTGTGTAATTTGTAATATATTTTGAAGCGGATCTTATGGCAGCCTGTTTGATTGACGGGAGAAAAAGAGTACGCTATGAACCGAACGTTAATTGCGTGTCTAATCGACCCGAGTAAGCGACCCGGCCGCTCTTATGTAATGAAAACGGACGAAGACGGGGAACTTTTCCCGCTCACTTTCGAGGCTCGGGGAGTGAGTCACCGCCGAGGTTCCTGGAATTTCCTGTGGCTCACGGCGCTCGTTTTCTGTTTGCCGAGATGAAAGAGGAAGGAAGGAGCTGTGACGTCACACTCCAGGGCAATTGTCGTGCGTTAAGAGCGATAGCGAATGCCGTCGCTGTGCTTCAAATGCCCATTGTTGCTACGTATTGGCGAAGTGAATTATGACTACCGCGCATGCGACAGAGTGAATAACGTGTTGTTTGGAATGTATTTCCGGCTTTAAAAAAATGTTTTGAAGATGAAATGCCAAGAGAAGTGTTTACAGATGCCGTTGCTCTTCCGTATGTTTGTTTTCATCTGTGGTTTTGTCTATATCATTTTCAGCTGGAGCGTTCATCTTCGTAACGTTTTCCTTTCATCCGCTCACGAACACGAACAGCAATTTCGTCGTTTTTTTTTCGTTAAAGAATATGAAGGAATAGAAGATTCTCTCGCGTGTTGTTCTGATCGGTCGACCCAGCTCCGTCAATATTATCCGAGATCCCTGTGTTTACTTACAGTTCCGCTGTTGATTCACCGCTAATTGAGACGTTAAATGCTCGAAGAATTATTACGAAGCCTCTGGCTGCTTGGATATTCACGTGTCTGCAAGCTTGTCCCGCCGCGCCTTCACACGAGACAGTCTGCAGTGCTTCTTTTGTCATGCAATAAGTGACCTTCGTGCATGGGCCGGCTGGAGGAAGCACAGAAGGCCCTTGTTCCTTTTGGAGTTGCATGGCTTGTCGTCGGCATTCGCTCTCGTGTTTTTATGTTCTCAGTTCTTTCGGGTGTGCTTGCTTGCTTGCTTTCTGTCTCTCTCTGTCTCTCTCTCTCTCTCTCTCTCTCTCTCTCTCTCTCTCTCCTCTCTCTCTCTCTCTCTCTCTCTCTCTCTCTCTCTCTCTCTCTCTCTCTCTCTCCTCTCTCTCTTTCTCTGTTCTTTCTCTCTTCTCTCTCTCTCTCTTTCTCTCTCTTTTCTTTTCTTTCTTTCTCTTTTCTCTTCTCTCTCTCTCTCTTTCTCTCTCTTTCTCTCTCTCTTTCTCTCTCTCTCTCTCTCTCTCTCTCTCTCTCTCCTCTCTCTCTCTCTCTCCTCTCTCCTCTCTCCTCTCTCTTCTCTCTCTCTCCTCTCTCTCTCTCTCTCTCTCCTCTCTCTCTCTCTCCTCTCTCTCTCTCTCTCTCTCTCTCTCTCTCTCTCTCTCTCTCTCTCTCTCTCTCTCTCTCTCTCTCTCTCTCTCTCCTCTCTCTCTCTTCTCTCTCTCCTCTCTCTCTCTCTCTCTCCCTCTCTCTCTCTCTCTCTTTCTTTCTTCTCTCTCCTCTCTCTCTCTCTCTCTCTCTCTCTCTCCTCTCTCTCTCTCTCTCTCTCTCTCTCTCTCTCTCTCTCTCTCTCTCTCTCTCTCTCTCTCTCTCTCTCTCTCTCTCTCTCTCTCTCTTGCTTCTCTCTCTTAAACATGGAAAATAGTTTATGTAAAGGACATACAATATAAAATGAGCCGAATATTTTTGAGAAAGAAATATAGCGCGCACAGCTTCAGAAGGATAGGGTGGAGGAGGAGCGGAGGGATAACGTCGAAGAAGGAGCGACGACGAAGGAAGGGACAGGTCGGATCGATGGGCGGGGATGGGAACGAGAAGGAGGGAAGGCCACGGAGAAACATTTTATACAGCGCCATTATCTCGTTATTTATTGAAGAGAAGTGTTATTCGCTGTTTAATTTATTGAGAGGAAGTGTTATTCGCTGTTTGATTTATTGAGAAGTGTTGTCAGCTGTTTAATTTACTGAAAAGAATTGTTATCCGCTGGAAAGCTGAAGAAAATGGACAGGGTGCCACCTGGCATTATGAAAGCATGGACAATCCCCCAGTTTATAATGGACTGCCCCGGAGGTTGCAATGACCAGGCTACGCACAGTATGTCAGTATATTATGCAATATGTACAGGGTGCATTTTTGTAGGCAAAACCAATTTCGCATCGCCCGTTCCTTACTTTGTTGCACGAAAATTGCATTCAATCGATCAAATACCAATGCAGATGATAACACTTATTGATTATGTCAGTTTTATTATATGCACTGGCCTTGTCTTTGACGTGATTGGTGATATAAAAGTTGTTTTGCGAGCACAGTGACAGAGCCCTCCAGGCATGTAAAACGAATGTTCGCCTGATAACCCTCTGCATAAATAAAAGCACCGCCAGTTTGGGTAGATGCTTTGGCTTCTTACCCTGGCTTTTTGCAGGGCAGGCACACTGTTCTGTAAATAAATTTTATGAAATCGAAATCTATCTTTCTTTCTTTCTTTCTTTTATTTATGCTTATTTCTCCATTTTTCTCATTTTCTTCTCTCTCTTCTCTCTTCCCTCCCTCCCTCTCACCCTCCCTCCTCTCACCCTCCCTCTCCCCTTCACCCTCAACCTCCCCCTCCCCCTTCCCCCTCCTCCCCCCCTTCCCCCCCCTCCCCCTCCTTCACCCCCTCCCCCTCCCCCTTCACCCCCTCCCCCTCCCTCTCCCCCGCACCTCCTTCACTCCTTCCCCCTCCCCTCCCCCCTCTTTCACCCTCACCCTTCCCTCTCTCTGGACAAGTATGTGTTACAAGAAAGAAAATCTTCATATGATTAAAATGATTTTCTTTTTTTGCGAATGTTTATCACCACAAAAATATGAATAACACACCAGAAGCAGCTGCAGCAGTGACCCATCGCATCATGTTATGCCGTGACAGTATGGTGCAGGTAAGTGTGCTGTGTGTGGATGTGTGTGTGTGTGTGTGTGTGTGTGTGTGGAGAGAGAGAGAGAGAGAGAGAGAGGAGGTAAGAGAGATGAGAGTAGAGAGAGAGAGAGGACCGAGAGGAGAGAGGAGAGAGACTAGAGAGAGAGGAAGAGAGAGGAAGGGAGGAGTGAGTTTGTGTATGTGTTTGTGTGTGTGTGAGAGAGAGAGGACAGTGTAAGCGTGTGTGTATGAGTTAGAGGATTTAGTCTCAGAGGAAACCAGACAGACAGACAGACACACGCCGATAGACAGCACAGATTCCGTTATCCCGCTGCCTTGTTTGTCGGGAAAGAGCGTGTTTCTTTTGTTTTGAGTATGACGAGGATGGGCCTTGAGGGCGAGTCATGCAGGGTTGTTAATGCTGGCATATAACTTTCGTAGTTAATTAATGCTGGTACTAAGTTTGCGTTCTGTACATGCTGATGGTGGGTGTTGGAAGTACGTGTTGGTTATGCTGGTTTTGAGTGTTGGTAGTAATGTGTTGTAAGTTCGTTTGAGTGTTGGAGTAAATGCTTCTTGCTAATGTTCGGAGGAATGCTTGGAAGTCTTCTTAATGCCGGTAGAAATGTTGGTGGTAGTGTAATGGTAGTTAGTGGTAATAAGTGTTGGTCGTTAATGCTCGTAGTAATAGGTGTTTAATGCTAGTGATTTGTGTTAGTAAAGACTGGTTGTAAGGGTTAGTAGCTAATGCCGGCATTGAATGCTAATAGTAGGTGTGGTAAGTAAATGCTCGTAGTTTAGTTTATTGTTCTTATGGCCGTAGCTCATAGTGTAAGGAAGTAAAGTCAGTCTGGAGAGTTGCTGGTTAAGAGGCTGCCTTGTGCACTGCTTGGACAAAGATGCGGAACAAAGGTATGAATGGTAGCGAGAAATCTCACCATGCAGAAAGTGCAATTTGATCTTACATCTTCATCAAAATTGCACATAATATGGGAAAGTTGGCGGAATTTTGGGCCTCCATTCATACATTCTCCGACACTTGTCCAGCTACGCGAACACCTGGTCTGGAGTGCGATTCCCAGAAACTCGCGGTGAAAGGCTCGGTAGTAGAAATCGAGTTGTGGGACCCATTCATACACGCTGTCGTTCTCTCCTTCATTCTTTCGTTCATTCATTCACCCGTTCCTGTCGGGTGTTATGGGATCGCATTCCTCGGGCATTCTCTCGCCGTGCCGCCGGAAGTCGAGGAGGGAGAAAAAGGCGAGGATTAGCTTTTTGAGTTTGACATGTTTGTCGAGCGTGGCTGATCCGGGAAAGGGTCTGCGTTTTCCATGATCTTTTATGGTGTGATGGTTGGCATGGTGATTGCACTACCTTTTGTGTGGGGGACAGGGCCGTGGAAAGTTGGAACTTGTTTTGATATCGATGGTATTCTTTAGAATACTACGATTACTGCTGCAACTACTGTTACTACTTCACTTCTACTACTACAACTTCTTTCTCCGCTGCTACTATTACTACCAGTACAGTTGAAATTGTTGTTATTGTTGCAAGATTTTTTCCCTTTATTCTCTAAATCCGTCCACGCAACAAGGTCACTTTTGATATTGCATTCAGCCTTGTCCAGCCTATTACAAGGGCCCTTCAGGTGGAGACGAAGAGGGGTGGGGAGGTGGGGACAGGGGCGAGCCAGGATTGAGGGTGGAGTGAGGATTGGGGCGAAGCCAAGGATTGGGTGGGATTTGGAGGATTCCTAGGGAGTAGTCGACAGTGGAGAGTAGGGGGAGAGGCGGGAGAGGGAGTCGGCTGGAGGGGGTGTACGGGAGACGGGAGAGAAAAGGAAGGTGGGTGGGAGAAGGAGAGACGGGGAGGGGGAGGGGTGGGAGGAGGAGCCGGGCGGAGTGAGAGTAGGGGTGTAGGGAACCCAGGGTAGTGAAACTCGGAGGCGGGTAGGGCAACTCGGAGGA